TAGTTTGCAACACATTGTGAATATTTTGTCGGAAAATACTAAACACGGACACTCAGCAGGACGTTTCCACTGAGATCCTAGGAAATTTCAATGCCTGGGCAAATGGAGATTTTATTCAGAGATCTCGTCTGGTGGAACAAATTGGGATTATCTGGACAATATGTTGGTGAGACAGACAATCAAAGCTAAAACAGTGAAAGCTAGCCAAAAATGGACGTACAAAATCAGGAAAACCTACAGACATCTCTGCATCTTTAGATGATAGGTTTGACCCAGACCCAGATTAACCAGAAAGCGCATGCAGAATCCCTAGGTTTGTACACTGGTTTTATAATGTTCTCTAGAATGTATATGTATTTGTAACTCTTACTGCCATCATTCCTTCATGCTATTGGTTAATACATTTATGCTTCCTGTCTCCTTAATGCCATCTCTAATATATTTATTTCAGAGACCACAGAATCAATCTCCATTCACAATTCCCACATAAAATAACTCATGGCTTTAGCTCATATAGAAACTCCCAAACGTCTCTCCTTATTAATGCCCTCTTGGAAGTTTGCGCAGGTCCAGCCTTCATCTCAAGCAGTCACATTTTTAATTTTTCTTTGATCTATGTCTCTGGGTATGCGCCAGTAATCGAAAGGCATGACAAGACTACAAAAATCTATTCATTACTGATCGTATTTTTACCTCCCTCTTCTCTAATACTTATAGGGATCCATTGCAAATAATTTATGTCTCATAGTGCTGACAGGGCTATCCAAATAAATAGAAAAAAAATGTTTTTTTTGTTTTGTTTTTTTAAATATGGCTAATTGTGACTACGTTTTTTTAAAATTAATTTAAAACTAGCTGACTTTACTTATAATGCCCGTTAAATTCAGGTATTTATAACTTTTTTCAAGTAGAGTGTTCAGAATCCCAGTGAGGTCCTGGCATTTAGAAAATATGCCTTGTCTTTTGCCACCTGGGTCTTAAGTAGTGTTTGTAACTGCTTTCAGCTTCTGTACGCTAGCGTTTCAGCCTGTCATGTGAGCCCCATAAGGACAGCGCCCTGTCAGTGCCAGTTACAGGGGCAGAGTTGAGACATTCCCCTAAGCAACAGTGTTTTGTCTGTGCCAAAAAGGTCTCCAGTTCTATAAGACTTTCAGCAGCGGCTGAGGGATGCCAGCAAGTTGCTGTTTTGTGGCTTTGTGTATGTCATCAGCAGGACCTCGTACCGTGCGCATTTTGATAATGCCAGTTACCTGAACTAAAGCGTATTAGCTCTCCCCTCTTTTTCTAAGGCATTTACAAATAGCTAATTACATTATTGTATTCCCAGTGAAATAAGCAATTCACTAAGGTTTGTTGAATTCTAATCTCATTTTCAAAACATGCAAAGTAGGAACTGAATTCTCCTGGATGTGTAACTTATTAACCATTTGCACTGTTTGCTTCCATGTCGGGTTATTTTTTTCTGTATGTGCATAGCCATCCATATCAGCCACAGTCGTTATACTTTAGTCTGTACCACCCAACATAGGGGTACTGCACCTGTTTCTAAGTCATTGTAAGAAAATATTGCATCATTATTAATTAGCCCTCTGTTAGGAACAACTAAATACTACTCTTGTATCTAGTTAGTGGCCCCCTGAAAATAAGACATGGTTAAGCATTCATCATTTGATATATCATGTATAGGATAGATAGATTGATAGATAGATAGATAGATAGATAGATAGATAGATAGATACACCAGATTTGCAATGGGTGTTGAATAATTTTTATTAATATAACTATATATATATATATATATATATATATATATATAATTTTTAATGTATATATTTATAAAGTACAGATATATTTTGTTACCACTTCTCTGCTATTTTTTTTATATTTGAATAATTGTGGCAATAATTATACCCGGTTAATAATAGAAGCATATTATTAGCATGTAATGTAACAAGAAGGGCTCTGACACTGGCAATTAATACCATCTGTGCCTCCTTAAAATTGTTTCATGATATGACATCTACAATGTGTTGTAAGCTGGGTAGAGTTCGTTTATTTTACACGGTAATATTAGTATCACACAAAAAAACCCCCCCCCCAAACTAACCTAGATTATTTATTCGAGCTGTGATACACGGATGCCTTTTTCTCGCTGAGAATTGATTTGGCATAGCCCATGCCAGATCTTCGAGTGCCAGCTTTAGTTGATATCCTGGTAATGCCAGTTAATTCTTCGTGTCCTGCTTTGCGCTGGTAAGTAATTGTGTTTTATAGAACGTTTCAACGTGATTGAAAGATGCCAGGAGCCGCAGCTTTCTCACAACAGTGCACAGTTGGTGCTTTGTGAAATTTCAGCCGTTGGAACATCCCTTTAGTTAGTCGTGTCAGTGACAGTTTATAATTCAACTGTTTTCCTTCCAGTGCAGGGATGCCATCAATTGCAGCTAAGGAGGAAAGGAGAGCAGCTTCACAGCAGTGCAATATGGGGACTGCCCCAGGTAATTTTCCAATAAAGCAAGCTTCTGTGCTGTGATGCCCTTCTGCTGGCAAGAAAGATTAGCAGAGCAGGCGCATGTATTGTTCCAAGCATCTAACTCCCCGGAAGAGCTTTGCCTGGCATCGTTACTTACCAATGCTTAACCCCAGCGACGCCAGTGTTTTCAACCTTTTTTTTCTTCCAGTTAAATTTTTATTGAGTTTTAAACCTGAACAACAAACACACAAAACATATTGTCACGTGAAAAATTTGGCGAGTTGCGTACAAATCACAACATTCCGTTCTAAAGGACATAGTGAACCGTACTGTATACACAGCATGTTTTAGTCAGTAGAACTGTTTGTTGTATTTTATCTTACGTTAGATATCAATGCTGTGATTTTATATTTAATAGATGAAAAGCTACCACAACAAGAGGACATCGTCTTAAATTAGAGGGGCAAAGGTTTCAAACTAATTTCAGAAAATATTACCTTAATGAGAGGGTAGTGGACACATGGAAACGGTTCTTATCTGCCGTCACATTCTATGTTTCTATGTGATGCTGGATTAAGATTTATATAACTGTATAAAATCAATTAAATTATGCGTGCATTTACCATAGTGCATGTTTTTTTTATCAAATACAAAGATAGATAAAATTGTGTTCTCAACAGCACCCTAGATTTAATAACCAGCGATAATTTTATTACATTTTATTTTGATGTATGTACTGGCGTATAGACAGTTATTCTCGGAGTAAATCCTGCTGGGAATCAAACTTGCAACTGTGATGAGGTATGTCAGTGTATCACCTTATTAATGGGCATAACGTTATTATTTCCCTCACTAGTTACATTATCGTAATGTGTGATTTCGGGAGGTCTAATCTGTTACTTGTATGTGTATGAAAAATAAATACATATTAACCTTATGGAGAGATGCATATCAATTAAACTGTGAACAACTTTCCTTCCCTGCACCCTGATTCGTCTCCTGAAACTGTCATCAAAACAAAACACTAAGCCCTCAGTGAACACTATCCTAGCAACATACTTTTCTACCCTACCCTTACCTTTTATGTCACCCCACTCCCCCCACTCCTTCTAGCATGTAAGCTCATTGAGCAGGGCCCTCAACCCCTCTGTTCCTGCGTGTCCAACTTGTCTGGTTACAAATACTTGTCTCTTAGTCCACCCATTGTACAGCGCTGCGGAACTTGTTGGCGCTTTATAAATAATAATAATAATAATAAAAATATGAATTTTGCACACAGAGCAGAACAGTCATAAGGTAGCCAGAAGAGAGGAAGTGGACAGGTCCCCGATGATCGACAGGGTGACCTGGGCCCAAATGACTTATTGAGTTCAACCTGAAGAGATGGAAAGTACAGCCTGACAAACTAGAGAGAGAGGACTTCAAAGTCTTACTTATTTATGGTGGTTATTTAAGGGAAAAATCCAAGCGCCATAAACACCACATGCCACTGTAGCAGTCTTGGTGCAGTGATGTGCCTCGTGCCATCAGTGACAGTAAGATATGAAATCATGTTAGCACAGTTTGACAACTTACTGCCAAGTGCCCACCCTACATTCAGCAAGAAAAACTGGATGTCACTGCTAAGAGCATAGAAACATAGAAAGATAGAATGTGACGGCAGATAAAAACCATTCGGCCCATCTACCACTTCAGCTGGAAGGCTATTCCATGCATCCACTACCATCTCAGTAAAGTAATACTTCCTGATATTATTTTTAAACCTTTGTCCCTCTAATTTAAGACTATGTCCTCTTGTTGTGGTAGTTTTTCTTCTTTTAAATATAGTCTCCTCCTTTACTGTGTTGATTCCCTTTATATATTTAAATGTTTCTATCACATCCCCCCTGTCTCGTCTTTCCTCCAAGCTATACATGTTAAGATCCTTTAACCTTTCCTGGTAAGTTTTATCCTGCAATCCATGAACCAGTTTAGTAGCCCTTCTCTGAACCCTCTCTAAGGTATCAATATCCTTCTGAAGATACGGTCTCCAGTACTGTGTACAATACTCCAAGTGAGGTCTCACCAGTGTTCTGTACAATGGCATGAGCACTTCCCTCTTTCTACTGCTAATACCTCTCCCTATACAACCAAGCATTCTGCTAGCATTTCCTGCTGCTCTATTACATTGTCTGCCTACCTTTAAGTCCTCAGAAATAATCACCCCTAAATCCCTTTCCTCAGATGTTGAAGTTAGGACTCTATCAAATATTCTGTACTCTGCCCTTGGGTTTTTACATCCAAATGCATTATCTTGCACTTATCATTAAATGTCAGTTGCCACAACTCTGACCATTTTTCTAGTTTACCTAAATCATTTGCCATTTTGCTTATCCCTCCTGGAACATCAACCCTGTTACATATCTTAGTATCATCAGCAAAAAGACACACCTTACCATCAAGACCTTCTGCAATATCACCAATAAAAAATATTAAAGAGAATGGGTCCAAGTACAGATAGAAACATAGAAACATAGAAACATAGAATGTGACGGCAGATAAGAACCATTCGGCCCATCTAGTCTGCCCAATTTTCTAAATACTATCATTAGTCCCTAGTCTTATCTTATAGTTAGGATAGCCTTATGCCTATCCCACGCATGCTTAAACTCCTTTACTGTGTTAACCTCTACCACTTCAGCTGGAAGGCTATTCCATGCATCCACTACCCTCTCAGTAAAGTAATACTTCCTGATATTATTTTTAAACCTTTGTCCCTCTAATTTAAGACTATGTCCTCTTGTTGTGGTAGTTTTTCTTCTTTTAAATATAGTCTCCTCCTTTACTGTGTTGATTCCCTTTATATATTTAAATGTTTCTATCATATCCCCCCTGTCTCGTCTTTCCTCCAAGCTATACATGTTAAGATCCTTTAACCTTTCCTGGTAAGTTTTATCCCGCAATCCATGAACCAGTTTAGTAGCCCTTCTCTGAACCCTCTCTAAGGTATCAATATCCTTCTGAAGATACGGTCTCCAGTACTGTGTACAATACTCCAAGTGAGGTCTCACCAGTGTTCTGTACAATGGCATGAGCACTTCCCTCTTTCTACTGCTAATACCTCTCCCTATACAACCAAGCATTCTGCTAGCATTTCCTGCTGCTCTATTACATTGTCTGCCTACCTTTAAGTCATCAGAAATAATCACCCCTAAATCCCTTTCCTCATATGTTGAGGTTAGGACTCTATCAAATATTCTGTACTCTGCCCTTGGGTTTTTACGTCCAAGATGCATTATCTTGCACTTATCCACATTAAATGTCAGTTGCCACAATTCTGACCATTTTTCTAGTTTACCTAAATCATTTGTCATTTGGCTTATCCCTCCTGGAACATCAACCCTGTTACATATCTTAGTATCATCAGCAAAAAGACATACCTTACCATCAAGACCTTCTGCAATATCACTAATAAAAATATTAAAGAGAATGGGTCCAAGTACAGATCCCTGAGGTACCCCACTGGTGACAAGTCCAAGCTTCGAATATATTCCATTAACTACAACCCTCTGTTGCCTGTCACTCAGCCACTGCCTTACTCATTCAACAATATTTGAACCCAAACTTAAAGATTGCAGTTTATTGATAAGCCTTCTATGTGCAACAGTGTCAAAAGCCTTACTGAAATCTAGGTAAGCAATATCTACTGCACCACCCTGATCTATTATTTTAGTTACCCAATCAAAACAATCAATAAGATTAGTTTGGCATGATTTACCTGAAGTAAACCCATGTTGTCTCTGATCTTGAAATCCATGTGTTTTTAGATGTTTAACAATCCTATCCTTTAACATGGTTTCCATTACTTTCCCCACTACTGAAGTAAGGCTTACTGGCCTATAGTTACTCAACTCCTCCCTACTTCCTTTCTTGTGAATGGGCACAACATTCGCTAACTTCCAATCTTCTGGGACTACTCCTGTTAACAATGATTGGTTAAATAAATCGGTTAATGGTTTAGCTAGTACACCACTAAGCTCTTTTAATAACTTTGGGTGTATTCCATCAGGTTCCATTGACTTATTTGTCTTTACTTTTGACAGTTGAAATAGAACCTCTTCCTCTGTAAACTCATATGTAATAAATTACTCATTTGTCTTTTTCCTAACTGAGGTCCCTTTCCTTCATTTTCATCTGTAAATACTGAACAAAAATATTAATTGAGGCAGTCAGCTAGACCTTTATCCTCTTCTACATATCTTCCTTCTTTTGTTTTTAATCAAACTAAGCCTTGTTTTACTTTCCTTTTCTCATTTATGTATCTAAAAAATGTTTTGTCCCCTTTTTTTACTGACTGTGCTATTTTCTCTTCTGTGTGTGATTTGGAAGCTCTTACAACTTGCTTAGCCTCTTTCTGCCTAATCTTATAGATCATTCTGTCTTCCTCACTCTGGGTTTTTTATAATTACTAAATGCTAACTTTTAGTTTTTACTATATTGGCCACATCTGCAGAGTACCACAGTGGTTTCTTAAATTTTTTGCTTTTACTGACAGGCCTAATACAATTTTATGTTGCCTTCAACAGTGCAACTTTTAAATAATCCCATTTCTCTTGGACTCCATTTAAATTGCTCCAGTCTGATAATGACTCCTTTACACATATTCTAATTTTAGAAAAGTCTGTTTTTTTAAAGTCTAAAACTTTAGTTTTTGTGTAGTGTGACTCAGTCACTGTTCTTATATTAAACCACATTGACTAATGATCACTGGATCCTACTGGATCCTGGATTTCACCTACAGTAATATCTGATACCAAACCTCCATTTGTTAACACTAAATCTAGTATGGCCTCTTTATGAGTTGGCTCCTCAACGACTTGTTTTAGAGACAATCCCAGTAGGGAGTTTAGAATATGTGTGCTCCTGGCACAAGCAGCTATTTTTGTTTTCCAATTCACATCAGGAAGATAAAAGTCACCCATGATGATAACTTCCCCCTTCATTTTAGCTATTTCCTCAATTAGTAAATTATCTAACTATTCTATTTGTCCTGGGGGCCTATAAATCACACCTACACGAGTTACTGTGTGATTACCAAATTCTAACGTAACCCAAACGGATTCTATGTTCGCCTCACTAACTTTTATTAGGCTAGATTTTATGCTATCTTTCACATACAGGGCCACCCCTCCCCCTTTCTTGCCTTCCCTGTCTTTTCTATATAAAGAGTACCCTGGTATTGCTATGTCCCAGTCATTTTTCTCCATATACCATGTCTCAGTAACAGCGACTAAATCTACATTATCAATTGCCATTATTGCCACAAGTTCATGGATCTTATTCCCTAAACTTCAAGCATTTGTAGACATCACTCTAAGCTTATCATTTTTTAACACACTTGCTACAGGCACCTTCTGTCCTTGTTTTGGGGGGCAATTGGATTGATGTTTTATCGCTCTTTTGCCCCCCCTCCGTAGTTTAAATACATCCTAGCAAAACCTCTGAACTGCTCACTGAGAACATTTGTTCCCTTTTGAGATAGATGCAAACCGTCTTTTTTGTACAGTTTATTTCCATTCCAAACAGAGCTACCATGAGAAATAAAGCCAAATCCTTGCTCCCGACACCATTCACCAAGCCACAAGTTAAAGTCCCTAATACGCATCGTTCTGAGTGTTATGCACAGGCAGAACTTCAGAGAATGACAGTGTGGAAGCAACCTGCCGTATATCATTGGCAAAAACACTAAAAACTTCCTTAACCTCTGAAACCTCTTTGCAAGCCAAGTTATTTGTCCCTAGATGGACAAGTACATCCAATTCCCCTTCCTGCTTTGCTCGCTTAACAATATTACAAATACGTCTCCTGTCTCTGTGAGCAGTAGCTCCGGGAAGACATCTCACAAGACCACCATTGTCCATCTCCACACCTCTTATGATGGAATCCCACAACAACAACTGCTTTCTATTAGGCCTCACCATAGTTTCCAGGCCTGTCTTCACAACACCACTACCCTCAGTGCCTGAGCCTGTCTCCACAACACCTCTACCCTCAGTGCCTGAGCCTGTCTCCACAACACCACTTACCTCAGTGCCTGAGCCTGTCTCCACAACACCACTACCCTCAGTGCCTGTCTCCATAACACCACTACACCTGGTGCCTGAGAATGTCTCCATAACACCATTACACTCTGAAAGTGCAGAAAATTCATTATGTAGAACAACAGACTGTGCAATATACCTTTTATCCACAACTCTAAGTCTACCAGATCCTACAGTAATCCATCTGCCATTCCTAGGACGTCTCTGTGGCAGTGGCTTTGCAGCAGTTCCATCCTGAGTTTGTTTACCAGATAATTTACAAATCTCAGATTTCAAAAATACAATCTCCTGCCGCAGGATAGAGAACTGTCAACAGATTAGACAGCATCCAAATCTCCAAAAAGTGGAACGTGAAACAAATGCATAATAACTATTACACTGAACTAAGTCTGCCATTTTAATGAGGTGAATAATTTAAATTAAATTTAAATCAAACAAATATTAATTTTTTTTTGTTCTCCTGAATACCTCAGATTGCCTCCAGTTTATCTCCAGAATATCTCCAACCACACACTTAGAAGCAGTACTTAGATGCAGAACCACAATTATTGTTTGAGAACATCAGCTGAGATCTCTCAGTCATCAGCTCACTTTGCAGGTCCATGTTCATTCAACATCTGGTTTCTCCTGCGGGAGAAGAGTGAATGCAGTGGATGTGGTGCAAGCACCCAGCAGGGCACCGATAAGTAAACATTTTACCATAGGGCAGTACCAAGATACTCCTAGTTACTATTTGGTGATGACTTGGTGAGTGTTCCTTTAATCATAATGACGGATGGATGGTTAGTTGGTTTAAGGAAGTGTCTTCATAAAAATAAGTTATTTGAATCCACGTGTGTGGTGCATAGAAAGTCCTATGCCTGATATTAAACTAACACAACAGACAGTAGGCATGATAAACTTTTTATTTAACCCAGGGCAGAATGTCAATTAAAAGGACACTCCAGGCACACTCGGGGCCATTACACAACTTAAGTGCTTTTGATTTGTGTGTTTTGCCCTCACATTCATGCTGTAAGTTTTCTCTCTGTTCAAATGTCTATAGTGTTTTAGTATAATGTCGTCCCCTTAACCACACCACATCCTCTCTTTCACAAAGTAGCTTTCTTATTAGAAGTATTCTGAGTATGTACACAGCACAGCCAATGGGGTTAATCTCAGCATGTGCAGGATATCACAGTGAAAAGCTACACATACACACTCAAGGCACCATGACCACTTCAAATCACTGAAGTGGCCATAGTGCTTGCAGTAACTCTTTAACTGCATGGTCCTCAACTCAAATAGCTTTTGATAACTAAAACTGGGTGTCTTAGAACAGTAACATGAGCAGAGATACCTGTTGGCTACACATGCTGAACCTGCAAGGATCGATTTCATTAGATATATTCACACCACCTGCAGTGGACACTAACTTTCACAATGCTCAGCAATGCTTTAAGGAATTATCTGGTGTATACAAGACACGTATTGCTATCACTGTAGGGTTTGACCTGACTGCGTGTCTCAGATTATGTAATCCAAACACTTGGTTTACAGGTAAATACCAAAATAATCATGGTCAAACAGTCATATTCTGCAATCATATATCTGAACATTCAAATTCATTATTGTCATTAAATTAGGATGTTATTTGGAAAATCATTGCTCAA